AATAGTTTGCTCTAGCTCAACTTATAGATGATATTGATTTTCGAATATTAACTTATCTTGAACAACAATTAAAACAACAGTACCCTGATATACGTGTTCGTCAAGCAATTGCTTCGACTTTTGCTAAGTATGTATTTTGTAGAGATATTAACTAGGTAGCTTTTTTTCGAATTTGAATGAATAAGTCGATTTTATTGAATTAAGTTAGTTATTAGCTACTTTTTGATTTTAAGGTTTTATTGATCACAATTCATTTTTACCATGTCAATGGATATATAAAATTTATCATTCATTACACGTTTAAGCATCAACTCGAATACAAATTGTTTGTTATTTTTGTCTTTTATATAGGTTGGATGTTTAGAAGATATTTATGTTCTTTCAAATGTTTTAAGACCAACAACAATTCGACCAATTTTTTCATAATCAATATGATCAACTTCGTTTATTTATAATTTTTTTTAACATCCCTTTATATGACATGATCTTAATAGTTTAATCTTTTCAAGAAAAGAGAAAAAAAAAGATATTTATTATGTTTTTTTTGAATTCTTTCTTTTTATTTGAAGATTTATCAAATCTCAACAAATGAACTATTCTATTACCATTCTCGAATTATTGCAAAAATATGCACAATCATCATTCTTTTGAACAGAATATAGTTGATATTTCAGTTTTCACAGAAGAAGAGAGTTCCAAAGTGTTAGATTTGAAGAATATATTTGATCATGTTTCATCTGAACGAATTCATTTGTTTTTCTTTTTAAAGAGAATAATAAAGATTCATCAACAACATCAAACACAGACAAAGTTTAAAAAGTTAATCATACACAATTATGTACTTTTGGAAATTATTCGAATTAATATGTTCATCATATCAAATACATAAAAGTTTATTAAATTCATCAGAAATGATCATTATTGTCTATGAAATCAGTTTTAAGTCTTATTTCTACACAAGATTTATCAAAAAAATTTGGAAGAGAAACACTTAATTATTTTAAATCAACATTCAATGTACACAAAAGGTAACTTCTTTTAAATAGTAAATATTTATTGTGAAGAAAATTTCAATTATTAATCTTTTTTATTAATCGGGTTAAGCTAAAACCTTTAAGATGTTGTATTGTGTCTGAAATTTGTCTATGGATAAAACTTTAGATGGAAATCTTATAATGAAGGTTTCTGAAAGTGTCTTTCCTAGAGAAGGAAAATTTCAATATAAGAATGTCATAGTAATAAAAAAACTGATTTTCCGAAAATTGATGACCTTAACGAGAGTAGTTTTGTTGTGAAAGTGTCAGATCTTTTGATTCGGTTCTATCTTGAAATTCGAATATTAAATCATCTAGTTTACGTCAGTGATCTGCAAGACACGCTATCAATTCGAAATTTGAAAATCATTTTTTTCTGTTAACACAACATTCATTTAAAAATATTCTTTTAATTTAGTTTTTATTAAATCTTCAAATATTTCCTCACAAGTATCATTAAATAATTCTTTAACTTATATTCATACAATAAGTATTCGACAATCGATAATTTATTTTATTTGGTTCATGTTATGCATCAAGTATAAATAGTGCAATACGAGAGTAAAATAAACAAAAAAAAAACGAATTTGATTTATTCTGTCTGTTTTTTTGTTTTCTATTTTATAGTTTTTATTGAACTAAAAAATTGGTCTTAAAAAATATATTAATATACAAATGAAAGTGATTTTCAAGCTGCTGTACTCGATTTACTTGTTCAATTACTTTTAATTCGTGTTAATTATAGTTGATTAGAAGCTGATGAAATTCGTTGTATTTCTAATCGTTTCGTTTATTTTTAAATAGCATTTTATTTACTGTATTGCTGAATTTCTTGTTATGTTATCACATGATACACTTCATTCAAAACAAGTTATTAAAATACAAGATTTAATAAAACATTATGATTCATTATTAGCAAGTGGACATGAACCTGAAACACATGGTAGTAAGCAAAAAAAAACATTTTCGAGAAAATGAAATTATCATTAAAATTCTTTATTTAGCTTTGACAGCATTAGAACCACTTTTATATGATTTTTTTTTCTTGTTCGAGTTATGCGAATAATTAAAATTTCTAAAAAGTTTTATTAAATGAGAGTGAACAAAAGGTATCCCTCAATAAAGGTCTCAAATATCTTAGAAACTCGAGAAGTTGTGAGTGTGGGTGTATATATGTAATTTTTCTCCTCGATTGAACCCACACCCACACTTCAACGAATTGATGATCTGAAAATAATCATCTTGTTGTTATGTATTTGAGTTTGAAGGAAAACTAGGCGTCTTAATTATTATAAATAAAAGTATCTTTTCATGTCATGTGTATGTACTGAAAAAATAATAATAGAATTTATATTGTTATAGGATTTACGATTGTTCACAGTTATTATTAATAGTGTTCAAATTGAAGATGATAAATGGAAACGTCTTTCACGACAAATTGTCGATTTACTTCTTGCTCATTTACAATCTCAGGTTATTTTTTTGTTTTAATAGTCTCTGATTTTACGTTACTTTTTTTTTTGTTCAAATAGAATCAATCACTTTTGGATATTTATTCCACACAATTAACACTATTTGATGTTGCTTTTCGAGCATTAGTAAATAGAAATGTTCGTTGTTTTTATTTATAAAATTTTCCTATAGTTTAAATTTTTTTTAGAATGTCAACTGTCAATCTACAAGTCGATAATTAATCAATATAAATATAATACTTCAATGTCTTGTACAAAATTTAACTGAAGATGCTATATTAACACGATAGAATGATGTTTTATTATCAGTTAATGGAACATGAGATGAAACTTTTAGTGCGTAAGTATTCGAAATGATTTTACTTATAATTTAAAAACTATTATTCTCGTTTTTGTTTTCAGAGCTCTTCTTCGTGTTTTACATTACATAATATTATGAATTTTAACTAATACTCGACAATTATATGGTCAAATCAATATGATATTAGTTTCTCTTGCATCCGATTATCTTTATGTACATATCACCCATTAATTTGAAGATAAAACTTTCCTGCAATTCATTAATTACTAATGAGCTAGCGAAAAACATTTGACTTTAAAATTTCTATGCTTATATACGATCTATAATTTTATTTTGGCTAAACAATTTCGAACAATTGTAAATGATTTTCATCAATTATGAATTCATGATAAAACTCTACAGTGTCTTGAGACATTTTCATATTTAACTATTTTAAATGAATGTTTTAAATTATTATGATCATCATTTTATATCTCATTATTATTACAATGGACACATTCTGAATATGCTTGATTATACACAAGAAGCATGCTAGTCACCAATATTAACACCATCATCATCATGAATACATTTATCTATCAGTGGTCAATTACAATCTTATTGTGATTTAATATATCATCATAAATTATATGTTGAACATTTTACATCAATAACAACACATTATCAATTATTATTATTATTTTTTATTTGATCTTATACATCATACATCAGTTGCAAGTCATTTATTTTTTTTGTGAAAGAATACATTTAGATGAAAGTGGTCTTCTATTAGTTTTATTAGTTGAACAATTCCTTCCATTACCATTAAATAAACAATTATGACTTAAATATATACCATAAATTTTACAAATATTATCAATAACAATATCAATCGACATTATTAAAGAAGATTTTAATAATCTTAATTGTCATATGAATATAACAAGAAAAATTTATGAACAAATGTTTAAAAATGTAACTTATAAAAACTGATTACCATTTATGATGTCACCGGTATGTTTTAGTTTAATTTATCGAAATAAATAAATATATATGTATAATAAAAATTTTAATCCAATTAAAAGAAATGTTTTTTTCTTTACTTTGACATTGTTTATGTGTTAGTAATAGATGAGATTTTTGAATAATTCAAAATTTCGAAAAATATTTTGAAATAGAAAATATGCAGAATTTCAGGTAATACAAATCGTAAAGGAAAACATTTAAGCTACATTAGTACAATGATCGAATAATTCCTCTCGAATCT